AAGTAATTAAATTGCAATATTAGTGGGATTTGCAGCAACCAATTTTTAGTTACAGAGCATTTCAGGCATGATTTCAGACTGTCCTCAAAATATGCCATATTATTTTGTGGTAATCTGCCAAATATCAGGCTAATGTCAACCTTGAAATGATATTGTGCTTTACGGCATTTAACACAAACATGCCTCTGGTGGCATTTTTCATTTTCCAAGAGCTGTGAAAGAACCCCTATTTCTGTGAAGCGGAACTGAGATGCCAGACAACAAAATGTCAAAAGCTGTTTTCTTCTCCCTTTTAATCGCTAAATCGTTTTCAACTACTGTGTTTGTACCTGGATCAGCACATAATGTTAAAGGGCAACAAAGAAGCCCTAAGCCATCAACAGAAGGAAAAAAGACAGCGTAATATAAACCAACTGACAAGCTCTCAGCAGATCTGTTTAAAACCAGGAACTACATACTGCCAGGTACATTATCTAGCCTGCAGACAAAAGCTATGTCTCAAACTTGATGAGTGCTGCAGTTGCCTACCAAAACAACATTAAATGTACTTATGCTACCCAGAAATAGGCTCATTTGAGATATCAAGCATCTTGATAAGAGTAGTCAGAGGAGGAACCTAAAAAGAGCGGTTTAATAAGGGATGGGGATTTGGCTAGCTTTGACAGTTAGCCCCTGCTGGTAGATGCTGAAACTACACCATTCTGAGGAGCATCTTTCTTCATTGATTGGCATTCAAAATTCAAGAGATTTATTGTCATGTGCACAGTAAAAATACACAATGGTTTTGAGCACTCAATGAAATTCTTACTTTGCAAGTCTCCCTTACACAAAAATAGACAATATAGTATAAATACAGACAAATATACAAAAATATGCAAATATATACAAAACAAAGTGCAATAATATATGCATTGTGCAACAATCAAGGTAACAGTCAGTGAATATAATGGGGAGTTAGTGTTTCGTGTGTTGTTCAGGAGTCTAATGGCTTGTGGATAAAAACAGTTTGTGAGTCTTTTTGTCCTTGATTTCACACTCCTGCCATCTCCCAGACGGCAGAAGTGTGAAGAGATTGTGTTGTGGATATTGTCCCTAATGATGTTGTGGGCCCTCCTGATGACCCTGGTGCGGTAAATATCCTGAAGTGATGAGTAGGCTACTCTACAAATGAACTGTGCAGTTTTTCTCACACGCTAAAAGTATGTATTCTGACTAAATAATTGTTTTCAAGCAACATAAATTTCAGATTATTCATTATATTAGATGTTTCACCAGTGAAGAGTTTGAGACTGCATGTTTTTGTAGTGCCATCAGCCAATCAGCATTGTCATGATGTCATTTACCTGTGGCTGTTATGTTTAATCACTCTGGGTGCTTCTCAAATGGAAGGGTGCATCCTATTAAGGCTGTGTCCAGTCCTTTAAAGGCTTGTAGGCTATAGAGTCCGCCTCAAAATGAAACGCTAGAATGAGACGGTCTAGTAAGTGTGCATGGCTATGTCATAAATGTTTCTGCCCCCATGGTCACAATGTGAAAATACTGTTAATAAAAAAAAGAAAAGACAAAGGGTGCTTTCACACCTGGATCGATTGGAGACGTTGTTCTGAAACAAAGGGGCGTTTCCCTTTTGGCCCGGTTCGTTTGGTCATATGTGAACACAACAATCGCACTCTGAATCGGAACAAAACAACCGAGCCGAGACCGCCTAGAAGAGGTGGTCTCGGCTCGATTCCATACGAACCCTGGAGCGGTTCGTTTGTAGTGAGAACACAACCGACCCACGAACCGGAACAAATCAATGTGTTGCCTGGCAAACAGACGCCAGTAGATCGCTTGTCAACATGGAGCTTCGGCAGCGCATTTTGCTGATTTGTTGCGGTATGTTGTTGTGGTTAAGGTGGTCTCGTACCTTATGTAGCTAACTTACTGCTGTCGGAGTTTTTTCGCCTTTGCGCGGCACTGCTCGACGGACCGTTCATAACCCCTCTCCTTCATTTTATAGCTGATCTTCTTGTACACTTCGGTGTTCTTGTGTGTAGTGTCCAACATCCGGGCGATGTGTTCTTCCGACCAAATATCTATGAGGCATTTCACCTCTTCGTAGCACCAAGTCAACCCGCGATTCATTTAGTTAGGCTACTGTTGTCATGGCGATGTCCCATAATGGAATGCGCGACCTGCACGCATGAGGTAGTGACGTAATGGCGTAAGGAAAGCCCTGGAAGGGTGCGCGATTTGGAGCGCTTTACAACAGTGTGGTGTGAACAGAGTGACGTATTAAATTGATTCGGAACAAAGTATTCTGTTTCGGATCTGTTCCGGAACAAAACAAATCGATCCAGGTGTGAAAGCACCCAAATACTTTTACTTTATATTAAAAACCTTAATATTAACTGCCTTTCTAAAAATGCAGTACTGTCAATCTTCTGTCACTTCGGTCTGTTTATTCTTGGGTTGGTGACAGAGCTCTGACAGGCTCGTTTGAGATGAGCAAAATCTGCGCAGAACCGATCATCGCAAGATGCATGCCGGTTAGAAATGTGTCCGAGTGTGGTCCGACTTGCTCTGATGTCATGCTGACATGTGTCAAAAAACTCTGGCGACAGTGAGGCGAACGTGTCAGATTCTGCAGTAAGGCTCTCCACCGACTGCGCTGATCAACAGCACGACGGGAAACGACTTGCTGATGACACAGCTTAATGCTCATTGGTTTAAACAACCATGACATATTGTTCTCTTTTAAAGGTGCAGTGTGTAAATTTTAGAGGCATCTAGTGGTGAGGTTGTGAATTGCAACCAACAGAAATTACGGTGGCCGACAGGAAAAGATGTCATCGTCTGAGACAGCAGAGAGTAACCGGTTAAGCAATGAGGTTTCTTTACAAAGATAAAGAAATTATATTTACTTAATTACTTAATTAAAACTATATGTTATTGCGAATATTATTGTTACTTGTTCATCATTGTGTCAGTGTATTACACAATGCACCTTTAAAATGTTTGATTTTAAAACTCTGATATCATGTTTTTATGTGTATAAATTATTAACTCTCTGATAGTGTGATCTCTGGGTTATATGATTGTTTTAGTATTTATAAAATATGTATAAAAAATGCTGCACTTTTTCACTCCTCCCCTCACTGCAGCCGCCAACTCTTAACAGCCCCTGCGTCTCTGTGTCAGGATTCGGACATTCATGCTCTGTGTGTTTGTATTCTGTTGTGAGCGCACGAGATGAGCATTTTGTTGTGTATATCACTTGTGTTTTTCACTGGCTGCGTGCTTTCATGTTGTCATGTTTTGTGTGAATACGTGGCTTATGTGTTGTCTTGTTTTGTTTGAGCGCATGCATGTGTTTGCAGTCCTGTGCCAGATCATTTTCGAATGTTTACCTGTTGAATGTTCATTCTGTGTGTTTCTCAAGTCAAGTCAAGTCACTGTTTCCCCCAGAGCCGCCCCAGCTCCTTGCCCTGCCGGCTTCGCCCCTGCTACCTGTCAAGTCGGCTTCGCCCAAGCTCCCCTGAATACTCTACTGTTCCTCTCAGCAAAGACATGATAAATAAGATAAATGTTCTGAATCAGTAATGCTCAATCTTTCTCCTGGAGATCATGCAGAATTCAGTTCCAGCTTTAATCAGACACACATCTGTAATGGCTATTTTTTTGCTTCTCTTGCTGGTTTGATTTGAAGCAGGTGTGTTGGAGCTAGGTTGGACCTAAACCATATGGATCTCTTTGTAGACTGGTAGATCTCCAGGAGGAGAACTAAGCATCAACACTTCTGGTCTTTTTACTTCATTTTTTATTCCAATTGACTTTATGCACAGCTGCACTACTTCCTGAACTTAAGCCAGCTCCTTTATTTCCTGTCTTACATTATTGGACACACTGATTAATTCAGGTGTGCCTGACCTCAGTAGTCATAGCAACAATAATCAGACACACTTGGATTAATCAGTGTGTCCAATAATGTAAGACAGGAAATAAAGGAGCTGGCTTAAGTTCAGGAAGTAGTGCAGCTGTGCATAAAGTCAATCAAGGTTCCAGGTACGATCAAATAAGTTTTACAGCCTGATAACCTCATATCTACAAATAACTTTTTATTCTTCTAGCTCTTCAGAAATTCTTCTCCTGTACTGCAAGGGTGCTCAATCCAGAGAACTCAACACACTGCAGCCATCTCAAGACCCATGCAGTGAAAATGGTTCTAAGAGCACAAGAAGAGGGTTATTTACCGCAAAGAGCCATTGAGAGATCGGCAAAGGATTGACTTTTTCAATCTCACTCCTGCAAATTTTAACTTTGTGTACAACCACTCTTGGTTTATAAATATTTTCCTCTTGCCTGCTCTTACTCGGATAAAACTTAGCAAGAAATCTTGAATGTCACATGATGTTAATATGATTTTTGCTTTATTGCTTTTTATTTTGTGATTTAGTGTTGTTTTTAATTCTGTAATATTTTCCCTTTTTTATGCTGCAGTTTTTCTTATATGCTCTCTTTCGAGAAAAAAAAGAAAAAGTTTGCTTTTCAACCGATTTACGAACTGCTTCAAGAGATCTTGAATGCCTAATCATTTTTGTCTCATTTCTTTAACCTTAATTGTTTTTATTTTTATATGTTGTTTTATTGTTTTCATCCGATGAAAACGCTTGTTTCTTATCCTGTTGTCAATTAAGAATTCAAACTTAGGCTAGCTACTCATTGAAACGTACAGACTATGAAATGAACTCTGTTGTGTGTGTTTTCAAGCTTCGACTGGACGACCACTTTGCCTCAACAACAATCTATGCAGCAGCTAACTAATGTTTTTTGGTGAATAACCACAGAGAGGCGCCATAGCCCTTCCTCTGCTCACTGGGTTCATCTCTAGAGTTGTAAGGGGGTTTAATAGTTTGTCGTGACGTCAGCGGGCAGATCTGGGGTCTGTGCTGCGCGTCTCTGGATGAAACTCAGTGGCGCAGCAGCAGGATATTTACCACACTCTTACCACACTCACTGACTGTATTTCTTTACCTGCTGGACTAAACGCTACCATGAACCTGTCTGCTGTTCTGCTGTTTCTCATCGCCAGGGTCTGTGCGGAAAGTCTAGAGGGGCCAACAGGTAAGACACGAGTGCTTTAGAGACTTTGATTTCATACCACGGAGTCCAAATCACTCACACACAATCTGTCCTGGGAATTACTGAACATTCAAAACAGACTTCGAAAGCACTTTAATCTCTTATGCATGAGCAGGAAAGTTTAAGTTCCTTAGACATTAAGCTGGCGTTTAACATGTTTGTAGAAAGAAATATATAGCCTATATATCAGAGTTTTGTGAAGAAGTTTTTATTGGTCTTCATTTTGTTTCTTCAATAATGGTTTTGGAGTGTATTTATATGGAGTTTATGAACATTATTCTTCATGATTCATTTCTGAGAATCACGTGAAGACTAATATTAAATCATGGCATACGATTTTTGCTGTCTGAATGTGCATGGTTAAATGTTTCAATTGGCGTTATACGTTCAAAATAGCTTAAATATGAACTTGGCAGTGTGAATATGAAGCTATGTTTTATAAAAGCTCAATCCATGAGTAAGGATTTACTTGATTTTACTCATTTAAATGACGAGTCCACCTGAATGTAAATTCTGTTATCATTCAGGCTACTCAACCTCGTGTTGTTCCAAAACCATATGACTTTCTTTCTTCTGTGGAACGTTAAAAAAGATGTCAGGTAGATTGAGAGTCTCAGACAGTTACTATTCATTTCCATTGAATCGGAAAAAAAAAAATGCAATGAAAGTAAATGGTGACTGAAACTGTCACCAGCCTAACATCTCCTTTTTGTTTTCTGTGGAGAAGAAAGAAAGAAGGCTTGGAACAACATGAGGATGAGAAAATGACAGAATATATATTTTTTTAGTGAATTTATAGAAATTCCAACTTCACCAATTAACTAAAAAACAAAACAAACAAAAAAACGTTGTAATAAGAAATGAGAAATATGTGGTGTACCATATAGGCTATTGTGGCATCAAGTTAATTGTCTGTAGATGATCCATCCACTAATTACTATTACACAAATCTATTTACTCATTCATGAATTCATGGCTGTTCTAGATTAAATCTAGTATTTCGTTTTGGCTCAGACTCTGCAAGTAAGAGAATATGAAGAGGTATGCCCTGAGGATCTGCTTCTGTCAGACTCCTGTATATTGCCTCAATATTTAAAAAAAAAATTCTGCTTGTTTAAAGTCTCTTGCTTCTACTTTCATGACATCAAATATGATTGCTGTAGCTGTTCTAGCTTTGCTTGTCAGGTCGTGTTGTGGTTTGTAGAGGGATTTTTGAGCTCCTGGATCAGTTTCAACTCTGAACATATCAAATAAATGTGTGAAGACTGTTAAACTGCAAAAATCCACCCATCCATCCATCAAACGTCCATCCGCTTGTCCTATGTAGTGGAATGCTGGAGTCTTGGGCCATAGTTAATGAATAAACATAATGAAAGGGAGTAATATAAACTACATTTCATTGGACTAATTTAACTTAGAAATGATATGAGCCTCACAAATGATTTTCGTAATTGTAACCTTGTATACTGATTAAGTCATTATAATTAATGTATTGATTTAGGAAAAAATTCATTTAGATGTTGGCACGTGAAGCACATTTTAGCTTACATGACAATTTCTTTTTGCATAATATGCATTTTTTTGTCATTTACTATCAACATAATTCCGTTCTGTCTATTTGGTGGCATTTCTATTTTGTCAGAGTACACGTTGGGCTGTTTACTGATGGATTTCGGGGAGCTTACTGCATGTATTGCGATGTTAAAGTTGATTTTTCTGTGTCTTTGAAGCATCCTTCATACTGTCAGATTACAGCATCACACAGTGGGGTGTGTGGGAGGTAATGAGACCTGAGTGCAAGTTCACTTCACTGACACTGACAGCGTGTGTGTGTGTATGGTGTATGTGTGTGTGTGTATGGCTGCAATTGGGGGCGAGAAAGGTTACAGAGGGTCTCACACTGCAGTAATCCAAATGAAAGTGAGTGGGCATTTCAGAAAATGTGTTCAAGGACACAGAAGGGTTGCACACTAGGCACTGCCATGTTTTAAAGGAAAAGTTCATGCCAAAATTACAAATCTGTATGCTGTTTCCCCCCCCCCCCCTGTATTTTATTCATACAATGACAAGTTCATAGTTACCATGGCTGTCAAAATACAGTAAGTAGTCATTATGACTCTTTATTCCAAGTCTTCTGAAGCCGTACAGTTTAATTCATCATTCAATTATAATTTCCCACTCTGCCGTAGCTCTGAAATCTCATCCTTTATTCAGCATATTCGAAGACACATGCATTGTCTCATCAGTTTTCCATTGGCGTTTGGTGATGGTGACATCAAAACTGGCATGGCCTGTCAATTTACTACTTTTAAAATTGGATGTGAATGAGATTTCAGGGAATGGAACAGGTTAATCATGACAGAATTTTCCTTTTAAGGTGAGCCGTCCTTTTAAAAGTAGAACGCACTGTGAGTTCTTCCCTACTGAGCGAATGCAGTTTGAAGACAGTTTTGCTTACTCGGGTATCTGCTTTGAATTACACTCACGATGTAATACCACCTATTGCTCTTTTTCACTGTCTTTTGACATTTACAGTTGAAAAACACACTATGCCTTTACTATAGCAAACGACTGAAATAGTTATCTGCCCTATGCTGTTGTGCCTTGGCCACTTCTTAAAGTAACAACAGGTAGTTTTTTGCTCTCGGGCTCCCCCTACAGTTGGGAAACAGTATTGTCCTCTACTACTGTCGTAAACTCTGTCATCCTACATGCACGTGCAATTGTTGACAACCAGGATAGCCCTGAACACTGTAGGAGGAGGTCACATGCAGGTGTTCTGCTTGCGTCGCGTGTGAAATGTCTTCATCCCAGGTACAGTGGCATATATTTCAGCATGTCATATGAATATAATTTCATGGGTTTTATTTTTTTTCTAACGACAAATGATCGCGATGCTCACGTTTACAAGCCAGCGTCATTATAGTAGCCTAGTCTATTGGTTACCGTTTTACTGGATCTATATGATACTTCAATGCAATGTTTGAGTGGTTGATAATAACCATATATCGTCAATATTATAATATCAAGCTACCATAAATGAATCTGCAAATTTTACAAATCGATTTGCATTATAGCTTGAGGCAAGACAAATAAACAAATATCACAGACATGTTAGGTATCCTAAAATATGATTTTATTAATAATCTTCCTCCTTTCTTTGTACATGTTGAGTAGACTACACTTTTTAGGTCAAACATTTGCTATTTGCATTTCATCGATTGCAAAGTTCAAATCAGAACGAGAATACTAGCGATAGCTAACCATCAAAAACTAGAATATCGTTTACTAGCTACCAGATTGATAATTCGCTACTACTCTAGCGAATTAGAGAGGTTAGAGAGAGGCATTCTTTTTTCGATGGGGCGTTCGATGCTCCCTGCACACGCAAGGTCTCTCGTTCGCTTTCTCTCTCTGCCGTCCGCGCGCGTTGGAGCACAGTCTCTGTCTCGCGTGCGCGCTCGCTCTAGATTCCGGGAGATTTGAACTAATTTGCGGTATAACTTGTCGATCACGAGTGGCTCAACAGGTAGATCTATAGATAAACTCATCTTTCAGGGATTTGACCGACCGGGTTGACAATTTAGCGTGAGAAACCGGGGGTGTGGCGTACGTGTGAGCGTGTGAAACCAATCAAATGCGGGTGTCTCACGGCCAATGCGTGAGAGTTGGCAGCTCTGCAATGTTGATCCTCGTTCTGCCTTTAACGCGATCACTTTCTCTTTTTCTCTTTTTGCTTTGCTCCGATAAAACCTTTGCTTTCTTGTTTTTCTGTGCTGCTTCGGCCATGACTATAACATTTGGCTCGCAAGTCCGATTTTAAGGAAGTGGGGGTGGTGGTGGAAGTGACGTATATGCCGTAAAGCAGTCGAATTTTGTAGTTCTCTTTGTTCGCCGGTTACTACCCGAAACCCGAAGTTTAAAAGTACGATTGAAAACGCTACAGACCCCGTCAGGCTATGGCAGACGTGTCATTCAACCTATTGTAAGTCGATGTACCATCACAAGAGACTTGGAAATATATTATGAAGGTTGAAAAGTTACCTGTTGTACTTTCAGCTTTGCTTGTGATGTTAAACACCACTGTGTCATTAAACTGCCATCTACATAATAAGGCATAGCAATAAAAGAGAGGCTTTTCCTGAATGAATAGATGAATAAATGACTGTATTGATCAATAATGTGTCATATTAATTACCTGATTCTGTGGAATACTTGAATGTGATTGGTCAGTGGTTACATTTGCTGTCAAATATTAGCATAATTACCACTAAATTGTATAACTTGACTGATGACCTGTCATGGCTGTGCTAGTTTTGTTTCTCGTTTTACTGTACTCTCTTTTACTCCAACATAATAAAACAATTTACTTAGTGTACGTTAGCATTTCCAAATGCAATTCTAACCATCTATCTATCTATCTATCCGTTAGAGCTTTTCTGAACACTTACCCTGTCTGCAATTGGTTGAATAAACAGATACCATTAGAGATACAAAAATTCACGCCATTTGTTGAGACAATGTCAGGGTAGATGGGATGTCGAAGTGTTTACACTTCTCCAGGGGAATCAATATTCAGATACGCTTCTGCACATTTAGCTGGGATTGGAGAATGTATTTTAACATGAAAAAATGGCACAAGTCAGCTTGAACCTACAAAATCGTTTTAGCCACAACCATCTGATATACTTTTTGCATGACACTGAGATGCCCCAGGAGACGTTAGATATAAAGAGAGAGAGAGAAAGATGGGTAGACAAACTACAGAAGAATGAATTGCACTAGAGCAGTGTCCTGAAACCCCCAGTAACCCACCAGAGTCAGCAGAAAAGACCAAGAGTAGGTGGTTGATATTATGAAGGAGGGCAGCAGAGGGCAATCGCTAGGCTATTCATTCTCTCAAACGCTTTCACTCAGTACAGCTGCCTTACCGTCTTAGAGGCATTGAAGGCATCGCACTCACGCTGCACACAATTTCAATT